TTTTTTTTTTTGTTTTGTTTTTTAGAGAGATATCTTGAATTGAGCATATTCCTTTGTTTGTTTTCTCGTAAAGAAAAGAGACTCCTTTCCAATTTTTCTTTCCTTCTCAATGCATGCATCTTGATTTGGTGGCAACGATGAGGATGTATATTCGTAAATTACGGTAGAACAAACATTTTACATTTGAAGGTGTCTTCGACATTTTTCTTGGACGTACGCGTGTACCTCTCTCGATCCATCATGATCTAATGCGATGATACGTGTTCGCGCGTAACGAGACACCCGGTACACGGTAACTAACAAGCCAGAAACGAGGAAACACGTTACCCTCTATCATGTCCCTCTATTATCACCCCAATCACAAGTCCTCCGAACATTACCCACACCCTGCCGGCTCTCTCCCCCGTTGCTCACAAATCTCAACCACATCGAATCTCAATTACCTTCTCGTTTGTCAACGATCCTCGTAACCAACCGTTCGACTTCTCTCTGTCTCTCTTTCTCCCTGTCTCGTCATTACCACGCGTACATACGTACATACGTACACACCTCTCTCTAACAAATAATCTATTCTCTCCTCTTATGCTTTTTCAGTTCGCAACGGCTATTCGTGCGTACCTGTTGCTCTGTCGGAGGGCCTGGACATCCGGTTGAACACAGCGGCCAGGGCGGTCCGCTACGGAGTGAACGGGGTGGAGGTGTGGGCCGCACCCTCGCGCAGCCCTCACACAAATCACACGGTGTACAAGGCGGACGCGGTGCTGGTGACGCTGCCTCTCGGTGTTCTGAAGGCTTCCGCGCCGCCGTCCGCGGTCGCCTTCAACCCGCCGCTTCCGGACTGGAAGTCACAGGCTATTCAGAGGCTCGGCTTCGGCAATTTAAATAAGGTAAACGGCCCAAGTAGCGGCGCTCGCGCTTCTCCTCTCCGCCGCTTCGCCTCTGATTTATAACGGCCGGCGACAACGACGATCGAACTTGTCGGCCGGCCACCGGAATGAGATATATTGTGATCCGGCGGCCTCTTTCGTCGCGAGCAGCAACGGTGGTGACGTGGCTCGTGTCGCTTCTTACGCCCGGGACACGTTCCTTTTACGGCCGCCCCGGAGTCTGTTCACTCTCTCTTTCTCTCTCTCTCTCACTCTCTCTCTCTCTCTCTCTGCCGAAATTAAAGGCTCATCGCGCGGCCAAACGGGCCACGGCTGTCCGGATCTGCCGACCGATAGCTCGTCCGCCCGAATAAATTCCCCCTTCGCGACTCCGCCGGGTAATTTACGAATCCGACGTTGGGCGCGCCGTGGGAGAGTGCAAGTTCGTTGTTTAAGGAGTTTGCGAATTTTGCTTTTGAATATGGAAATTGGCCGGGTGGTTTTAGATCGGCGAGATACGCTCGCGAGAATGACCCTGGGATGACTCTGATGGATGTTGGGGATGTTGGAACGACGGATTTAGGAATGATACGTGCTTGCGCGATTAATATTCCAGATTCTTGTGTTCTTAGGTAAATTTGGAAAACAACTTTTCTTTGCTTGTCAGTTCGTAAAGTTAACTAAAGCCTGTGTATGTCGACGTATGTTGTATAACTTTGCACTTACTGAATACTTGAACGAGTCAACAAAGACACCGTGATTGCCGCGTGGCGAGAACGTGCATCGTTTGTGTGAGATGTCTACAAAATTGCCGTGCGATTGTGAAGTGACAGAGAAGAATGTTGCGTGAATCTCACGTGCGCGTTCGGAAATTCAGATCGGGCCCTGAAATTCAAGTTGCGCGATGAGGCGGTGCAATCGTATTACGTACTCGTGAATCTCGTGAATTCTCTTAAACGACGTGCGAATAATCTGCAAAGAGAATGATTCATGAAACGAAGCGCCGGTGGTAAACGTTTACGTGAGCAACCGTTAAACCAAAGGATTTGCCAGGACCAACGGGTACATAATATTTTCTCCAAACAGGCTTACGAACGATGTGCTCCCCGGTGCTCCCTTCTCGCCTTGTTAAATTACACATATTAAATTACACATATCTCGCCGCGTTGAATTGAAAATTGAACGAGTCACCGCGTTGAATCGGATCTCGGAGGATTGTTATTGAAAATCAAATCGGTCCTCTTTCGCATACACCTGTACATTTTCACCTTGCTCGCGATCGAGATTGAGAAACTTGCTCTATATGACGACTTGGACGTCCAAACTTTCGTTCGACTGAAACTCATCGGCGTGGTCGAAACCCCGGTGTCTCGGTCGAGAATAGTCCAAAGTGGACGATTGTCCGAGTGCTACTACCTACTGAGCAAGTAATTCCCGGGAATCTGTCACGTCTGTCAGGTGGTGCTGTGCTTCGAACGGATCTTCTGGGATCCGACCGCCAATTTGTTTGGCCACGTGGGTAGCACGACCGCGTCGCGTGGCGAGCTCTTCCTCTTCTGGAACCTTTACAAGGCTCCGGTGTTGTTGGCTCTAGTCGCTGGCGAGGCTGCCTGCGTGATGGAAAACGTCAGCGATGATGTAATCGTCGGCCGCTGCATCGCCGTCCTCAAGGTAAGTTTCTTTGGGCAAATCATTTTTCATTGAAACAACCGTGTGATTTACGGATTTTCGGGCCAGTCGCGATGCTAGAAAATTAAACGAGTTTAATGGAACGAATGAATCGAAGCAGGATCGATCGTCAGTTATAATACTTGTAGTACAATATTGCTTTGCCTATGTCATTTATTTCATTTCATTTCACCGTACAGACACTGTATCAATTTACTGTTTCATTCTACTAGTTTTATTTTACTATTCCAGTAGTTTTTCAAACTTATTACCTCGTTATACAGTGACGGAGAGACGAATCGTTACTAATTATACTAAATTACTAAGATTTTGTATTTTGCAATCTGCATGCAGAAATTAGAAATTCTGAAATTAGATAATTCCTTTGATAGTTAGCAAATTTGCTATTATATCCATATTCCTTCCTCTTATAAAAATGATAATTTCATTTTATAGAGTTTTATAGATTATCGTGGCACTTGCCATTTAAATTTTCTTCTGTAACCGTAGTACTCGCGATGCAAAGTGTTTCGCTGCCTATCTAAATTATTCTTTCGCTGCTTCTCAAACATGTAGCCTCTTGAAGTATGCATCACTGTGTTTTTAGGGTATTTTTGGGAACCAAGTGGTGCCACAGCCACGCGAGAGCGTGGTGACGAGATGGCGGGCTGATCCGTGGGCAAGAGGCTCGTACAGTTTCGTGGCGGTCGGCAGTTCCGGTAGCGATTACGATCTTTTGGCAGCGCCTGTCGCGCCCCCTGCCACCCCTGGTGCTCCTCCACCGCAGCCAAGGGTATTCTTCGCAGGTAAATATTTAGTCTCCGCGATATT